CCGTTAGCAAGCGTCTTTGCAGCACTCTTGATGGAGTCTATCGATGTTAACTGCTAGTTGCGCAAATGGGAACGATCGTCATTACCCTGATTCTGAACATCCAAGTCTAGCGCGGCGGTAGTGCTAATGATGTATGATAAAGCGAGTGACAGCACACTAGTGTGTGCGAACATGATGAAAGACGAAAAGAGTGTAGTTACGCTGCGAGATAGAAGCTGACAGTAGGAAAGTCAATACTTCTAAAAGCAACAAGACGGGAAAAGCAGCTGGTGATGTTCGTCAAGTGGCACAGGATCAGCGCTAGCATTGTGCATCCAGCCGCTGTGCGATGTGACCACTCACGGTTCATCGGCTACCTAGCGCAGAACGCCTGAGCCCACATAGCCTTGTTGCTCATCTCGCATAGCCATTCAGGGGCAGAGCATCGTATGAGATGTATATACGGGCGTAAAGCTGCCTTGCGATGGACGTTGGAAACAGCACAGCCCTACGATAAATATAGGTGCGCCCTGGTTGCGTGGCCAAGAGCAGCCACAAGATGCCATCTTTCATGCTTGAGTATGTCCGTGTAGCTAACCATGCGCATGGAGTTGGTTGAACAATCTCTTTCTGTGCACCTCAAAGTCATACTGCATCGCGTCAACTCGCCTTCCGACCGATACCCATCTTCGCGACTAGAGCCTCCGCGATGTCGCGCGCAAAGTTTTGATCGTTGATCGCGCGCTCGTCCTCGATTATCTCGACCTTACTATCCTGGAGCCCTCTTCTTATCGCATCGAAGAGCGCCGCATCCGCCTTCTCGTCTTGAAACGGCCCATCGGGGACCGCAATCATGCTGATACCTCCCTTTGGAAACCATATCTGGATCACCTCAGGGTTCTTTGCATGGGTCTTCAACTTCGCCGCAATGAAGTCGCCGACTTGAGTCGCTTCATCGACAGATGTCCTCATCAGGGTTACAACGGGGTTATGCTCGTATAGTTTGCGTTCTTTGTATCGTTCCGGTACCGTGGTTATGGGGCCAAAGTTCGTCATGTCAGTCGCGCCTACGGAGACGATATATGGTATGCCGGCTTCTGCGGCAGCCTCGAGACGTTGCTCGCCCGCGCTCATCACACCGCCGGTGATGTGGTCGCATATCTCGGTAGTGGTAAGATCGAGCACTGCATCAAGGCCTCCTTCTTTGATAAGTCGCTCCATTGCTTTTCCGCCGTGACCGGTAGCATGGAAGACGTACGTTTCGATATCGTAATTCGCCTCCAAATGTGTGCGTATTGAGTCGACGGCTGGAGTAGTAACACCGAACATGGTGACACCAACACGCTTCTTCTTAGATTGAACGGGATCTTGTTGACGAGCCGCGTAAGCTCGAGCCATTCCCGCGATGGCGGCTCCAGCATTACTGAGTACATTTCGGAGTACCTGATTTAGACCAGCGACGTCCACCACGCTGTACATCAAAGTGATATCCGTTTCTCCAACGATGGGTCCAGTGTCACCGCTTGCGACGGTAGAAACGATAAGTTTAGGGAAGCCGATGGGTAGTGCGGTCCTCATCACTTCTGCCGCTAGGGATGTGCCACCCGAGCCTCCTGCATTGATGATAGCGTGTATTTTCCCTTCTTCAAACAAATTCTTGACTGCCTTGGTAGCGCGGGCAGCCATCGTCTTGATGACTTCGCCTCGAGGCAACTCACTCACATCTTCCACGCCACCTTGATCCTTCAGCAGTTGGTCTTGGCTGATGCTGATGGAACTGTGCCTTATACGCTTTCTACCCACATCCATCAACGTCACGTCGACATTGTTTTGTTCTATTTCTTTGCGGAGGAAAAGAAGCTCCTCCAACTTTGTGTCGCAAGTACCGAGAAGTACGACGCGTGGGTGAGAAGACATAATGAAATAATCGTCTGATGGAGAACACGAAATGTTGATGTATGGGTATCGAGTGGGTCGTAGATGCTCATACCCGTGTGGTGACCCCCGCGCTTGCATTACGTCATCGTGCATACTTCAGCAGCACGACCCAGCATCATCACTATAGCATCGACAACTCTGATTATATCTCTAGACACCAGGCCCCTCACTTACCATTCAATCAAGAGCTGAAGTACATTCAGTACGCAAGCATGTCACCACCGACCGATCGCAAAAGTATATTACAAAACCTCCGCTTGCAGATCGACAATGGCAAGATCATTGTTGGCGCGGGCGCTGGCATCGGACTGAGCGCGAAATTTATCGAAGCCGGTGGCGGCGATCTCATCATCATATACAACAGCGGAAGGTACCGAATGGCAGGCCGCGGTTCGCTGGCTGGTTTGATGCCATACGGAAACGCTAACGATGTGGTTCTGGAAATGGTATGCCAAAATGCGACAAACAATTGCTTCCAGTTAGCGGCTAACAATCTCAGGCTGGCGAAGTTCTTCCCATCGTCAAATCCACGCCAGTACTAGCAGGAGTATGCGCTACCGACCCGTTCCGAGACATGTCTCGCTTCTTGAAGCAACTCAAAGACCTTGGCTTCGCCGGCATCCAAAACTTTCCGACTGTTGGATTGATCGACGGAACTTTCCGGCAGAATCTTGAAGAGACGGGAATGTCTTACGACGCCGAAGTGGAAGTCATGAAGATGGCGCGAGAAATGGACCTTCTAACGACGCCCTATGTGTTCAATGTGGAAGAGGCGAGAAAGATGACAAGCGCAGGCGCCGATATCTTGGTTGCTCATATGGGACTCACGACGAGCGGAAGCATTGGAGCGAGTACTGGAAAGAGTTTGGATGATTGCGTTAAGCTGATCCAGGAGATACGCGATACTGCAACAGGTATCAAGGAGGACGTCATCATCTTGTGTCACGGCGGCCCCATCGCAAAGCCAGAGGACGCGGAATATGTGATTAGCCGAACGAAGGGCGTACATGGTTTCTATGGCGCAAGCTCTATGGAGCGCTTGCCAGTCGAAGACGCGATAACCAATATCACGAAAACATTCAAGGGACTAAAGCCTGGGTCCTCTGCATAACCTAATAATAGGGAAATGCATTCGTTATTTCATGGTTGTGTATCTACAATGTATACCGGAAGTCGGGATGGCGATCGCCAAGTTTACCTGAGTCGATCTGTCGGATTCGCTCCTCGATAGACATTACTTCTCTCTTCTTATTAATGCCGCGCAAAGTGAAGTACATGACAGCGTAGCCGCATGCTGCGATTGTGATCGTTGTGATGGAGACAGCGTGGCCAATCACATAACGACCATCGTCATTCGTAATACGGTAGATCTGGCCGGCCATGATACCTGCCGAGTTACCGATCGTTTGTTGCAATCCTATGGCGGTGGCGCGCTTGAAGTATCCGGCATTACTGTTGATCACCCAGGTAACGTTCAAACCCACGACACAGTAGATGCCAGTAGCAGTGACAAAGGTCGCAAAGTACAGCACCCCGGTCGAGGACATGGAGACGCCAAGCATCATGGCATAGCCAATTGAGGTGACTAACGCCAAAGGAACCATGAAGAACGCTCGCCGGTTGAAGTAATCCGAGCAGAAAGCGACGAAAAGATATACTGCCGAGGCCCAGATGTACACGGGCACGGTGAGGAGCTGAGTGCGAATGCTAGAGTATCCAAATCCACGAATGATGACGGGGAGGAATGTCGAGAAGCCGAAGGAGCAGGTATTGGCGCAGAATTGGCAAGCAGAGCTGAGCCATACTTTGGGGTCGCGGAAAGCAAGCTTTACTTCCGACTTGTCCAAGGCATCTGTTGTCATCGACTTGCCCTGGTACAATCGTTCGTTCTCGTGTCGGGCGCGAAGCAGAGCTTTTTCGTCTTCATTCAACCACCACGCGGTCTCGAAATTGTCAGGTAGTAGGAAGATGGTAGCGACACCGACGATGATGGAGATGAGACCCTCCACCAAAAATAGCCAGCGCCAACCAGCTAGCCCTTTTGCGCCATGGAGATTTGTGAGACCGTACGCCAGTAGCCCGCCGAATGCACCGCTTAGTGCAGATGCAACAAAGAGATACGACACCCTCCGCGCTTGCTCCAGAGGCTTGTAGTACATACTCAGGTACAACGTCAAGCATGGAAACAAGCCGGATTCGAAGGCACCGAGGAGCAGGCGGGTAGCGATGAGAGAGGCGTAGTTCTCGATGAAAGCAGCCCCGATAATGACAGCGCTCCAGCCGATGATGAATGTTGGAATTAGGCGGGATGGTCGCAGCTTCTTCAACAATATAGAGGCTGGAACCTCGAAGGCGATGTAGGTGACGTAAAAGAGCGTTACGGCAACGTTGAGACGGTTGCCGGTGAGTCCCAGATCCTCGTTCATGCCTGCGATGGCAGCATTTCCTGAGCGCTATCAGCAAATGACCTTGTAAATTATTATTGGGAGATGTGTGTACCGATGTTGGACCGGTCGAGGTAGGCCACCTGAAGCACACTTGTTAGGCTCGTTGTAGTGGATGAGAGTTTGTATGCATACCAGAAACACCAAGACCATCATCGGAGATAGAATGAGGTCCAGTTTGCGAATGAGCTGTTGATCTTAGTTAGCACGTGATGCCCAGTTTTGCGTGCATTGCTGGTACCTTCTTCTCAGCGACTGGATCAATATGAATCTCTTCGCTAGCGCCAATTTGGGTATCCTTCTCGTGAACTGAGCCATCAAAGGTCTTATCATCCGGGGTTGGATGCGACATGGTGTCGGTGGTGTCGTCTTCCGCGGCTAGACGAGACGGAAAGCTCATGATACAGGCTTGCGATCCAAACCAGACCCATCTGCCATGACATATACCTTATACCGTTCATCTTGACCTGGGACAACATTATTGCCGATCGGTGCCTAAGGAATTGTCCGACGCGGGAAGATAGCGAGCCCTGCTAAAGTGGGCATGATACGCATGGAGGATGCGCTAGGAACATTGGCAGGCAGGCGTCCGATAGAGATACTATCGGCTAAATCCCAGCGTTATCGGGAATCATCAACATGACGGAGACGCGATACGAGGGAGAGATGGACAGAGTTGACGAAGGTCCGTCAGCGAAGAAGAGGAAGAGAGGTCGACAAGCGAAGAGCTGTGTCGCGTGCCATCGTCGGAAGCAAAAGGTGCGTATGACGTAAGCAGTCGCTCCGAGCTTCGCGGCGCGATAACGCGTTGTGATGACGACCCTCCAACCCAGCCATCTTCGCAGTGCTTCCGTTATGAACGATTGCAATCATTCCACGAGCAATGCTCAATACATCGGATAGATAGCTGATGGCCTACGCAGTGCGACGGAGAGCTGCCATGCTTCAACTGCAGCAGACGCGACGTTGCCTCGAGCTGCACGTACAGCGACGAGGCTGAAGCCCGTCGTCGGCAAACTTCACGGGTCGCCGCTATCCCTCTGAATGACGATATATCCTCAGAGAATCCTACAGGTACGCTTGTATCGGCGCTGGCGTGCACGTAGCAGAATGCGAGAGCCTTGTCGACACGCTCATTGCAAAGATCGGTGCTAATGTCACCGCGAAGACACACGGACCACTTCCACGCGTGCCAGAAACTCGCCCGAACCCAGAGACGCACAAGTCGGTAATCTCTTCCGCAGTCGAGATGCCCCATCCTTTTTCGGCTCATCCTATTTCGGACCTCAAGCTGCCGCAAAAATAATCGAAGAGCCCGCACCAGATCTTTCGTCCGGTATACGGCATGCTGCTGCCTCAGCGCAATCTTTCCGCGATGTTGGAGGCCCTTTCTCGCAGATCTGGGATCTGCTGGGTTTGCTGCCACGCAACAAGGCCAGCGTCGATCGCCTCGTACATGTTTTCCTTGACGAGCTGAATTGGACCATAGACGCCATCCATCCCCAATCCTTCAAACTCAAGTATGACGAGTTCTGGGAGCGTAAATTCGGCTTCGACGACTATGCATCTATCGATCTGAGGTGGCTGGCATTGTTATTCATTGTCCTTGCGTATGGTGTTTTCCTCGACTGCCCCCATCCAAAGAATGGCGAAGTGCAACGTGAGCTTCAAGAGACATCACTACGCTTCTACTGGGCAGCAAGACGCGCTATAGTCATTGCACCAACATTCTACGGAGAGTCGACAGATCTTGTTCGTGCCGGTCTTCTGGTCACACGTTATCTGATCCATTTGCGAAGAGTACCGGAGGCTTGGCTTACGACCAGTTTTGCCATGCGTATGGCCCAAGCACAAGGCATGCATATCGATGGTGAACGTTGGCGTCTCTCGCGTAAAGAGACCGAAACCCGAAGGCGTTTGTGGAGCCATCTTTACACCTTGGATAAAACTATCGCGCTTGCCATCGGTCGTCCCTTCGCCATAGTTGACCAGCAATGTCTCGTCAAGAGAGCCACCAACGTCTGGTTGGACGACCAACCGGACGAGGACACGTCCGCCATTCCAGAACTACCAATGTCTGAGCCGACTCTGAGCGTTTACAACTTTCTCGCACACGATCTGGCAAAGATTATCGGCAGCATTCAAGAGCGTTGCTTTGGTCTCTTTACCGTTTCGTACGACACCGTCATTTCGCTAGACCATGAGATTATCGACTGGGAGGCAAGGTTACCAGACTACTATCATCTGAAAACCCCAGTTACATCTATGGATAGCACGCACCCCTTCCTTTACTGGAATCGCTTGCATCTCCACTCCATGTACCACTTCGCCCGCGTTACGCTTCATCGACCGTACTTGCTGCGCCAAAGTATCACCAATCGCTTCAGATATAGTCACGATGCGTGCATATCGTCGGCATGCGCAGACCTTGCCATGCGCATCGATTACTTCCAACAGCCATTGAATGACCGTCTGAAGTGGACTTTGGGTCCACACCACCTCTTCAACAGTGCTTTAGTCCTCGGAATAATCGCTGTCAAAGATCCACACTCGCCTAAATGTCGCGCGATACTAGAGGACCTCTCCGCATATTGTGAGATGCAAAGAGCTGATATCTGGCTCAATGAGTTCGCGCTAGCTGAGGTCAAAATCATTGAACTCTGCATCAAGAAAGCAAATCAGTTTCGTGCTAGTCGTACCGACCTCTTTCGCATCCCTTCCATATTTAATAGGCGGATTCAGTTATCGTGTATCTCGTGTGTGTTGCGGGAGTCGTAAGTAGCTTGTTGTTAATAGGTTATTGCGGTACTATGGGATAGGATAGGATAGGACTAGAGTTTGAGATTTTCGCACACACTGTGTAAGTTAAAGGAGAGTATAGAAGCTTTGTCTTCGCAACTCTGCTTCCTCTCTTATACACAATACATAAGATGGTGCACCTTACTCTCTAGTCTGTCGCCCTCCTTATTTAGAACCTAAACAACCTGACTGCAGCTATAATCGCCTTCGCTATCTTCTTTAACATTGTTGCTACCGCCCCTCTAGCTAGAAATGCTGCTTTTGAGCGATTAGCTATCTTGCAGGCTCTCTAGTATTACCTCTGCTAGGGGCTAGATGCGGAGCTTCTGCGCAACTTGAAGATGTATGCCTACTATGTAGATACCTAACAAGGTAAGTACTCGCTACATCTTGTGCGAGTCCTGCTAACGTCTGCTTAGGACTTACACTAGCAGCCTAAGCCTTTATCTAAAACGAGCAGGTGATAGTACATAGGCTGCTGATAAGGATAACACTCTCTACATACTAGCCTACTCTAGAGGAGTTAGCTTTTATGCATTAGGTGTCTTTCTCTGGCGACGTTAAACAATAGACGAGGATAAACTATATGCTTGCTCTGTACAACGTGCAGGTGCTAATACGGACGGATGCATAAGGCTTAAAGGACAGCACTAAGGATGCAATATTAGATAGACGATAGACGATAGAACGTATAAACATTTGTATTGTGGATGAAGCGTTTAGAGCGTGTGTGACGTGTATCTAGTCGTACCGAAACACGTCCCAACACAGCAGACAATGCGCCACCTGCCGTGCATAGTGCCAATACCATCGACCTGACATCACCGTATACGGAAGATAGCTCGATAACGGTGCCAGATCTGCCGGCGATAGGTGCAGGTGGGCCCTTCCAATGGCATGCGCCTCCATGGGGTGACCCATCTTTCACCACCTTGTTTGAGCCAACCGATCTACAACACTGGGAGAATGTACTGGATAACATCACACAAGAGCAGATGCTGTTCGGCTTCCAATAGCGCATCACGCTCCGTAATATCCTCGCTATGCGTATCTACTCTAAGCTTCCTCATACGCCACAGGTGTAACCAGACTTCCCATACCATGACTCATTACAATCCTCAGATCATCTCCCGGTTTGAGCCATACCTTCGGCACCTTGCTCACACCAATTCCATGCGGCGTACCCGTCATGATTACAGTACCTGGCTCCAGCATCGTTCCTTGGCTCAGATATGCCACTATCTCTGGTATACTGAAGATCATATCGTTCGCCAGCGAATATTGCATAGTCTCACCGTTGAGTACCGTCTTCAGCTCAATGTCGCCTGGGTTTGGTATCGAAGACGCCGATACCAAGCATGGTCCTAGTGGCGCGAAGCCATCGAAGCCCTTGCCAAACCCCCATTGCGCTCCGTTAAACTGGTGGACTCGCGCGGTTACGTCATTCGAACATGTGTAGCCCAGCACGTAATCCATCGCATTTTCTTTGCTCACGTTCTTGGCTGGCTTCCCGATGACAACTGCAAGCTCGGCTTCGTAGTCGGCCTGGCCATCTGTCGCCTGATGTGGAATAAGCAAAGGCGCATTCGGTGCACCGAGACATGTTGAAGGCTTGAAGAACAGCGTCGGGTGGTTGGGAAGGTCTAAGTTCATCTCTTTGGCATGTTTCCGGTAATTCAGGCCTATACAGCGAATCGTGCCAACTTCGGCTTTTGAAAGCGGTGGCAGTAGTCTTGATATCGTGTAGGTCACTAATGTTGGCTGGGTATCCCCGGAGAGTACCGACGATCCTGTGAAGACGCGGATTTTGACCTCCGATCCTGAAGCAAGAGCTGCGCCGACTGCGACTTGTTAGACATAGCAAGTAGAGATTGGAAATCGACATACCATCCAACTCAGCATCGATGGGCTCGCCGATATGCTCAGCACCGTCTTCGGTTGCGACAAACCGCACTAAACGACTCCAGCTCTACTTGTTGTTAGTAAAGGGCTTTGATCATCCACATTGATCGCGTACCGTCTTCATACCACTTGCAATATCTATAGATCCCATGTTTTGAAGCCTTTTGAGATTGATTGTTGGTGTTCTGGATCGCTTCCAAAGGCTATCTTTGGGCCTGCTCCTGGGCTACTTATTCCCTTTTAGTTCGCAGCGCAACAGTTGGTCTTATTGCGACGGCCTGCATCTCCGCTGCTTATCGATCGGGAATTGATGGAGAGGCCGACACCCCTGCTCGAGCGGGTCACTACCCCACCACTCATGCGCGCGACGTCGGGTAACGTTATCTGAGGTGTGTGCTCCCGGTCCGGTTGACAAGCAGACGACATAGGTAGCCGTAGACGTCCAAGCCTGTTGAGTCGTTCTACAACAAGATGAACATGCAATAACATCACTGCAACCGCTCCAAAGATAGAAAATGATGTACAATTGTTTGCGATACTTAGTAAAACGTCGCTGAAATAGTCAGATGGGTACTCTTCCTCTATCCCAGGCTTCACTCCTCGGTGCCTTTTCAACCTTCAAAACTGCTTTCGTAAAGCCTTTTGGGTGTCCTTCTCCCTCTTTTTGGCCCTGGCATCCGAGTTCAGCCTTTCTTGCTGCACGTGCGGCGGGCGGGCATAGGTCTGCTCGTATTGCCCACGCAGCGGCTCCATTATCATAGGATTGCCTACTTGACCCATCATGCCCAGATCCATCATCGATCGTGAGCTAAACTCGTCGATGCGACGTTCACCAGGAGGCACATTCGCCAGGCTCGTATCAATAGGCCCAAAGTGACTGCGCCGGTTCAAATCTACGTTGATCCGCCGAGGTGTTGGGGGTGTCACCGTCATGGAGTCTGGCGAACCCATCGTTGGCTCTTGGGTTGGATTGATGGCGGCAAGATGCACTGGTTGCTGTACCCATCCAGGCCCTTCTTCTTGTTCGCTGAGCATACGCCTCGTCATCGGGTTGCGGCTCGCAAGAGGAGGAGGCGGAGGAGGTGCTGTACGCGGAATAGAACTCGCCAGCTCCAAAGGCTTTGGTGGAACAGGAGGAGGCCGCTTGCGGATGTCCAGCGGCTGAGGGCGCAACTCGGAAGCGCACCGGAAACTATCCATCGAGCTTCTCACTCTCGATTGACAGACACTAGGCGGGGTTACTGCATTGCCGTTTACGTCCGAAATCTGTGACACGGTCGATTGATCCAGCGACATTGGCCTCGACGGTATCGTCGCTGTCAGCGGAGGTGACGTTAACGACCGCTGCAATGTAGATGGTCGAGGAGTGTCGACCTCTTCACTCTGCTGTCCGGCCATTTCTGATTGCAGCAGCCTTGTGGTTTCAGGTGTGCTCAATACGGAGCGCGTTGGATCTGCGTTCACGACGTGCAGACACTGTCTCGCAGGCCAGGGACTGGCGATAGTACCCACGTCGTCATGAGCCGGAACAACAGGAAATCGGTCAATTTCCCTCGCTTCGTGGATTACAGCATTTCCAGCTGATTTGGAAGATCTGGCAGGAAATATCTTTCTCTTGTTCTTCCAAAGGTTGCTTGTCGCTTCAGCTACACCCTTGACGTAGAACTCTGCCCCCTTCTGCTCGACAGCTTTCACGCCCTTGTTAGTCTGCCTGCTCTTATTGAAGACTTGCTTCAACAGATTCTGGGAGGACTTGGGCGCTTCGGGAAAGTTGTTGATGGTCACGCTGACCGGAGCGTTGAAGATGTTTCTCACCGGCTCCTGCTGCAAGGCAGACGAGATCACGTCCGACGGACTGACCGCATCGGCGACAGTGACTGGCGCTAGGTGCTCAGCAGCAACAGAGGTAGCATGCTGAGATTTCGCAACCGGCTTCCGCGCAATACTACTACCCTGAGATGTTCGAGATGATGGCGGTCGAATGGCAGATGACGCATCGCTTGGCTGTGAAGACACCGAAACCGGTGTGAATGGCCGAGGTCCTGACCCTTCGTGTTGATGACTATCTCGATCCCGATGATTCCAGAGATCAGAGAGAGCAGACTGTGGTCTTGCTTGGGGCTGAGATCGCTGCGTTTCCTGAGCTGTAAAGAACGTCCCTCCGGATGAAACCGTATCCAGCCGACTCGGGGCTCGACTTGCTTGCGACGATGGCGGATATGCGCCAGGAAACGAGTCGCTCCTTATAGACACAGTATCTCCATGAGAACAACCGCTTCCCGCGTTTCGGTCCTGGTTTGATAGCACTGAGGGCACATTGCTGAATCCCCTATTACCCAATGGGCGTCGAGCCACGACACTTTCTTGCACAGGCGTCTCAGAAAATGCTCCTGCCTCGCTGCGAGGTGCTCTACTGCTCGCGTACGAAGGAGGGTACGCGCCTGGTAGTAAGGGCGTCCCAAGAATTGGCCTTGGACCGAGTACTGTATGAGGAGCCGCCGACTCAGCCTGGGAAGGAGACGGAGGATAAGCACCAGGATATAGGGGAGGTTCCTCGTCAGTCTGAGACTCGTTTGAAGTATCGTGAGGTACTTCAAACGACTCCAATCTGCGCGCAAGGTTCTCTTCTACCGTATGATACGATGGCGGACGGCCTGATGAAACTGATCGAATGGACGATCTGCTTCTATCAGAGGCTGGTGGTGTAAGAAGTGCACCAGGTGGGTATGGAAGCCTGATATCTATCCTGCTGTGATCCGTCGTGGTTCTGGCGGTGACGATGTTAGAGCGACGGGCTTGGTCTGCTGCCACTGATCGAAGACTTGCTGGCCGCGATGCAGATGCCTCTGAGATCGGCGTTAAAGGCCGATAGAGTACGTTCGGATTGTCAATGACCTCCCGAGCATCGGCCACACTCCTTTGTTCCTGCTCAGTCACCGGACCCGGAGGATAGGACGCCATGGCTCCCAACACTGGGCGGTCTTCTGGAGACTGGGTAGCCGATGGCTCGTTCGATGGTGCAGAGGTCCGTCCGTGCTCGTTCACCCAGCGCAGCATATCCTCTCGATCTTGCCCGACCTGTGCAACTTCCCGAGAATGCTCTTCATCTTGACTTTGTCTTAAAGCCATCTGCAGCTGCTCGTCTTCACTCAAGCCGCGCACAGCGTATGTCTCCAGAAGTCGTGTAGACCGTTGTGCATGTTGCTGCTCAATCTCGGCTGCCACTTTGCTCTCGACGATAGTCTGATCTAAGGTCTCTTGATCTAGTCGCGCAGCTTGAGCCCGAGCTCGCTCATCCTTCAGTGACTGTAATTCAGCTTTCCGGGTAGCCTCACGCCCTTGATCGGCAGCTAGTGCTTCACGCCCCGACTGTCTTTGAGCTTCAAGAAGGCGTTGTTGGTCCGCCTCAATGTCTGCATTGCGTCTCCGCTCCGCCTCTTCTGCCTCTGCCTGGCTAATGGACAGCGCAACAAAAGTATGCTCGCGTTCTTGATCGGCAGCTCGTGCTTCACGCTCCGACTGCCTTTGAGCCTCGAGAAGTCGTTGTTGGTCCGCCTCCGCGTCTGCATTGCGTCTCTGGGCCGCCTTTTCTGCTTCTATCCGGCTAATGTCAAGCGCAACAAGAAGCTCCTCGTCCTCCGCCTCGGATTGTCTTGTGACCCTAGCGCTCGTTGGACGCGGTGGTACCCCAGTTCCCGCGGAAGCTCGACTTGCTTCAAGGGCACGATTCAGATCTTGTTCTTCCCTCATCTGAACATCGGCCGCGACCCAGGCCATGTCTTCCGGACCGTATTCTTCGTTCAAGTTGGACATTACGACGATCGGAGTTTGGCCTTGTGGTCGCGCGATGTGGGCAGAGTCCGTCGGGTCGGCGCAGTCTTTTAGGCGCTTGTCGGAAGATGTGAGGGCGGGGCGATGTGCGAGGAGAGCGGTAGTCGCGGTACAGCCGGTGAAACCAAGACTTTGAGAGCGCTGGTGGGTGTAAGGGTAGAGGGTGGCCGAGGTGCTTGAGTGCGTTAAGAGACCGGCTATTTATCAGTAGAGGCAGCACCCTCTGGGTGCCTGTGCTCACGTGCATCTCCTGAACGGACCCATTGCGAGTTGATATAATTTTCGTAACGTCATAGCGGTTCTGAGAAGCCTGCAATGACAGACGCTGGCCGGGTGTGGTCAGAGCATTTTCCGAACAGTGAGGCAGGGAGCTCACTTGGCGTGAAGACCACTGGAAGAACCCCAAACATCGTAATCGATAAGTGAGTTGAAAGCTTGGAATACCATATACTGTTGTATTGTATATACTGACGAAGAGGGTGGACCGACTCAACCTTTGATGCGAGGTCGTAGCGCCAACATATAGCATACGAAATATCACTTTCCCCGCCCAAGAGGTTTGTGTGTCGACACACTCGTTGCTGTTTGCATGCGCGCTTGTATTTGGTGTTTGGCGTAGGACTCTTCCCGCTGACGACATTGCTCTTTTTGCGCGACCCCTCCGCATTCTCAGTCGCTAGTGTTTGATCGCTCTCAAATTTGGTATGTGTCGCAATTTGCCTGAGGTTGATGTCGAGAAGCAGTTCATCAGCTATAATCCACATCCTCTGGTCAACACGTCCACGACTTGCTGTCGGAACTCAATCATGCCTTCGACTGGATCTTCATAGTGCCAAGTAAGACACTTTGATACGACTTGCGCGTAAGCCTTTCCCATCTCTCTCTCGATTTCAGTACTGTTGGCCCAATCCAGTATCGCATTGTGTATACGATTAAAGAGATCCTGCTGCTGTACTATGCCGAAGATCGGGAACTTCTCTATGCGGCGGGCAAAGACTTTCGCCATCGTCCGCCATAGTCCAAGCTCTAGAAGAACCACGCCCAGTGAGTAGATCTCGTGCTCGTTGGAATATTCTGAAGATGGTCGACCAAAACGATCGTGGTGGCGGTATAGATTCGGCTCCAATGAGAAGTGCGTCGCTTCGAGGGGCTGCAAGACACCCCAGCCAACGAAGAAGGGAGACAACTCGAGATCGTTGAACGATCTTGGCAGCATTACGATGCTGCGCGATTGTACGTTCCCGTGAACCCAACCTGAGGCATGCGACTCGAGTAGTGTGCTTGTGAGCGCCCTTGCAATGAGGAAGCGACTTCCTATGGAGGGCCTCGCGGTCGGACCCTTCGAGATCATGTCATACAAAGACGGTGGGTTTGATGCCCAAGGATGGCTTTGCGGCGCGCGGTAGACAATCAGACTCCGTCTGTTGAGCGGATCATCGACGAAACCCATACAGCTTAATGTATGCAGCTGGTAGCCGTTCTGGGCGTCGCTCTTGACGGATACGTCAGTCTGATGAGGAGCCTGCAGCAACCACGTCAAGTGACACATGTACTCAGCAGGCGTCTCGTCGTCCGATCGCGTTTCAACAAGAACGTCGACTTCATCTCCACCGTCGTCATATATCGTCTTGATAAGGCCGTGAGATGGCTGCCCAGTGCTGATCGTTTCTCTGAGCGCGCCAACGAGCGCAGTATAGTCGCTCGAAGGCTCTGCACCTGCTCGATGCTGGCGTTCGAGTTGTTCTGCCACGCCAAGGATAGCAGCCTGCCTGGAATTACCGAATCCTGGATCCGGAGGTCCGATGCCAAGGAAGACAATTTCCAGAGTTTGACGAAGCCGATGCGTCCATTGCAAGCAACTCAAGGTGAGTGTGGCCATCTCCTCTTCTCCGAACAATGCTTTATATAGGCCCGGGCGTGCCTTTTCTCGCCAGAGTTGCGAGCGTTCCTTCATTTCGTCTCTCCAGCTCTTCTTTTCATGCTGAACATCTAGTGACGCGGCGCGACCGCGCTTCAGATCCTCAATGCTTCTTTGACCCGTACCGGGGGTGGGACTCTTGCCGATGTACCTCCACGCTTCCCGGTGCGCGGCTAGAGACTTGTTGAGCGAGTAAAGAGAGTGCTCTACATCACTCGGTAGAATACGGTGCAAACGACTGTCGCGTAAAACTCCGGTTAGATCGCTGAAGCAGATATTCGAAAACACGTCCAAGAACACAAGCGTCTCGTTCAAAAAGTTCGTTGTATTAGTTACGCCGCTTGTGTCTTTCGTGACGTCGCGGACAAAGATCAAAGTTGCGCAAATGACTACAGCGACGTTAGCATCGTGAATATAACCCCATTGTCTTCTATTCTGTGTTTGAGAGCAGACAAACGATTAGTCAAAACCTTTCCAGTTCAGCCATCTCTTGCACAATGTCGTGAGATGCATCCAGCTTAGAACAGCTGTTGTTGACGGTAACACGTACGATGAAGGAGTTCGAGAGATGCGCTGACATGGTCCATAGCGTCCTCTCGTATTCGAATGGCGTCGCAAACTGCCCAACAAAGTTTGGCCTCAATCGCTGTCGATCGACTGCAATGAAGTCGCAGGAAGTGAGAAGTGCATTAGCGGCGCAAGCTGTCACGAGGGTGAGCGAACGGCACCTGGGCAGTGCGGCGTCCCATCGTCGCGCTAAGCCACCACGCGGGCGCGTTGCACTCAGCTAAAATTAATTTACCCCGCCGCCGCATGGCTGTTACGAACGACTACGAAACGTGATGGGCAGAATCCTGACGTGATTTGACGAAAACAAGTAGGAGGAGATGAGGAGCTGGAAGGGAAGTGGGAAGATTGGCAGCTATCCAAGGTCGGGCGCGCGTTCGCGATGGGGCACGGGACGTCATTGCCCGTGCACAGTTTCGAAGACACTACCTAGGTAAACTCACCTGGACAGTACGTGCGGACTTGACAGGACGTTCGCTTCTGCGTCGCATCTTCTCTTCTCACGATCATCAGTTTGCAAGATGCGAGACGGTCCAATTATAGGGGATGAGTTCAGTACATATGTCATCTACACTACATTGTACCCGCCAAATGGACATCACGTGACTGACGTCATCACGCGTGCTTGACATACCTAGGTACCCAGGTACGGTCCCCCTTACTTCTCGACACTATCTTCTCATGAAGCAGACATACCACCTCCCAACACCTTCTTGGTAAGCCCAACATTGAAGCCGCTTCTATCCTCCAAGACGGTGGCTTTAAATCGTCTGGTTGTATGCCCAATGGTGTCACGTGGCATATTCCTGAGCTCCATTTCGATTAGAAGCCGAAATTGGTACTCCTTCGTTTACCACGTCTCACGCCATACACATCTCCAGTGCTCGGTTTACTCGGCTCGGCTCTCTGCGCATCTACATCGGAGCTTGTGAAGCGTCGAAAGAGTCTCCGTGCAAGACCAGGTCGCTTCTCTCTTTCCCGTTCCCGTTCCCGTTCCCTACTCCGCTCTCTTTGTTCGTGATCGGTTAACTCGGGAACGCCCCCACCTCTATCTGCATACGATTCTGTCATACCTGGTCCTAGTGGTTTATCACGAAGTCGTCCGTGCATGCCTGCTCTGCCAGAGCGCCAGGAATAGCTAGAGCCGATCGACTCGGTTGGGGAAGATGGACGTTCACCTGTTGACGCGGATATCCGCATGGGAGCGGACCGGAAGAGCTTTGCTGGAAGAACATGTATCGTTGAGTGTCCTTGCGATGGCAAGCCGGTCAAGCCAGATGCGGGGAGTGCCGTGGCCAAGTCGCCCAAATTGAGGAAGTGCAGACTCGAAGAGGTCGAACTGTGAGTTGAGCTGCGGATTAGGTCATCTTTTGTCATGCTGGTGTCTACAGCACCTGCTGACGGTATTTTGTGAGGTTGATTCAAGCCAACTCTCTGGATGCGGTCATCGCGATGGCTCTCCTCCGCACTCTTCTCGCCAGCGAAACTGGACGTAGTCGTGTGGAATCCTATTTCTAGCCCGGGTACGAAGTTTTGCTGCCTACAGTCTGACGAATTTGTTTCGGTCTGCGGGCGCGTTTGCCATCCTTGCGAAGGCTGCCGCGACATCTGCGCTGCCAAGGAAGGTGTGCCAATGACTTGGAATTGTAGAAAAGAACTCTGGGTGTTATTGCTAGCTCCCAGTACTGTTGTGAAATTGAGTGATGCGATCAACACATTGTATGGGCAGTGTGAATGAACGATACGGTCCATAGTACCGTTGCCGGTGCGATTACCCACATAGGTGATCGCCGAAGATAATGAAATAGCTATATCAGTGCTGCATTCGCAATGTGAGTAGGGCAGTCCGGTCGAGTGTGTCGAGTGAAAGTAAATACAGATCTGATCCTCCAACGTTCTTGCCGTTATTTGTTGTCGCGCAAGAATGAAACCAAACTAATGTCTTCATATTCCTTGCCTAGATGTACTCCAGTTTCGATACACTAGATTTCACTCATCGAGAAGCCTCAGCTTTCCGACCTACTACTGCAAAAGTCCAATATGACAGAGCTCTTGGTCGGTATGGGAAAGCATTCTCCCAAGATGTCGTTACCGGCGTTATCAGGAGGGCTCTCATACTTATCTACCTCCTCCAGCATCTTCCTCGACAAAAGCGGGTACAGCATCGATAAGTCTCTTCATAATACATAATGCGCTGGCGCGACATATATTTGAGTGTGTGAATCTTAGAGCTCTCGACGCGGGAACCGATTCGAAAGATGCGAATACCAACTCGACCAGAATAATCAAGTTAGCATAGTCTAGACAGTAGTACGCATGATCCTGGGACCCAAATCGGGACCCACATCCTAGTATCAAGGCCGCGAACGTTGAGATCGGGCCACTTGCTGGTATCACTAGTAGGAGGGCATACCCGTGCGCTGTTGAGAACGTAGCCTCTATGTTAGGTGTCGAGCAGACGATGTAGCTGTTAGTTTTAAGGTCGAAGAGACTTTACATTTAATATACTAGCACTAGATAAACTAGATAATCTAAATAATTAACTAAATAACTTATTACTTATAATAGCTACTTAGCTATCTTTACTATATTTTTTTACTTTTTTTATTTATACTAATATTAAATAAAGATCTTATATTTAGCTAAAATAGCTAGTATCTACTTATATTATACTTTATTATTAAATATAGCGCTTAAAATAGCTTACTTATAAAGTATTAGCTAAGAGCTTAGTAGCTAAAGTTAATAAACTAAATCTAATACTACTACTTTCTTAGTA